AGTGCAATTTGTGAGTATGAAATAAGAAAAATTTGTGCATATTTTTTTTTTTGCAGTGTTGTTTTGCTTTTTCAGTGAGAGAAAATTGTTTCGGAATGAACAAAATTCGACGACGATCACGACGAAATTTACACAATATAAATTGATTCGTTTCTTATTCTATCGATACAATTGTAGCGAGCAGCTGGTTAAACAAGAGCTTTAGCGCATACTTACATTAGAATTTCCCTGTAAAGAAAACAATACGCCTGAAAATCCCTAATTGCTGAAAGATGAAGAAAAGCTATGAAGGAAAGAGTTACTTTTGATTTAGTTTAATTTTCTTTATTTATATACTTGGTTTGATTCAAGGGAAAAGCCGCTCTGGCATAAAAACCCTTTGCTCGCACAATTGCTCTGTTTCGTGGTCTGTCGCCGACTCCACCGACTGGAGTCGTGCGCACATTATTATTTGCGCTGTTTTATTGAGCTCTTGATGTATATGTGCGCTAGCATACACACACGATCTATTCACCGAACGGTGTGAGCGTTCGGTACAACAATTGCTTTGCCTATTACTTTGTGGTTGTTATTTCTCTATTGTTATTATGGTTGGTGATTTCTGTTTCTTTTTTCTGAATAAGATTACTGCCGTTCGTGTCGATGCTTAATAATAATAGTTTAAGTGCTGGAAAATGAGTCAGTTAAAATGCGATGCGCACATTCTTTGTACTAGAGATACATTCTTGCAAATAAAAATTCAGAAATCAATTCAAATGAAAAAAGTGTAATTTTAAAGTGTATGTACTTCATTTTAAACGCTATATCATTCATTTCTCATTTTTGAAGCAATAATGTTTTGATCGAATGTGTTACAATTCGAAAAAGAAAAAAAACAGACAAATTTGCCGTTTATTTTTTCGAATAATAAGAAAAAGACATGCAGACTTTTCTCCATAGCAATCCTCATTTGATTGTAGAAATTCTGGCGAGTCGGAAATATTTTTGTTTGCGGTTCATACTTTCGATAGACACTTCCAGATCAAGCATGGCCGCCACACCCAAAACGTTCACGTCTGTGAAGTGACTGTGCGAAATGTTGCATAAGATTTTAGACTTGGAATCCTGAGAATATAAAATAACAGCTAGAAATTTAACTAATAATCTAAAGAAAGCAAGACATGCAACAACATATACCTGTATTGCAACAAAATAATTGATAGCAACACATTTGGGCCCATACATCGCAGATACTGTATTTTCGCAGAGAAAAGTGCAATTGGAACCAGTGCCTACGAGAAACCAGACCTTGACAATCGGTGCAGTCGGCTTTCCGGCACACTGACAGTTTAGGCAGATCATCAACCGATTATTTTGACCGAAAATTATACCATTAACCGGAAACGGTGACGCACTAAACTCCCCTGCGCTCAAATTTGGTATTCCGTGATAATTGCCAATCTAAAAACACAAACATTACAAAAACGAAAAACGCAAAGAAAAAACTGACTTACATCA